GTAGTAGGATGAGGTATGCAAATATACCATTATGACAAGATGATCATTGCTGAGATATCTGGCTTAAATGAGTAGCGTCAGATATTTTTATACTTTATCAATTTGTATTAGATTCTATTTTGTATTCAATTATATTGCATTAATCATTTGTATTAATTAGGTCTTTAAATGCTTGATCACAGTCTGGAATGAATGAAGCTTTGTCTGTTCTCTGCTGAGAACAGGCCCAAGCTGCCATAACTTCTGCAGCCTTGCTGGCAGTACTGATAAGAAACAGCCCTGTGATTGGACAAGATGTATCTTTTCTGTTCTCTGGCTGAAATAAACTATGCAGCTTCCCTGAGCGAGGTCAGAGCTTTCTGAATAGGTCTGCCTTTAAGGTCTTCCTGAAATCTCTCACCTTTGCAAAGGGAAAACTGATTAAAACTGTATATTCACGTCTGTCTCTGTTTTTTTTTTTCTTATTTCTTTAAGGTGTATTTAATTTCACCCCAACAAGTAGACTAGTGTGTTCCAAACGTTCAACATTATATTATAATTAATTTAACATTATAACCAATAATATCCTTAGAAAAATGCTGATTTGGGAGGTGAGGTTGTGTGGTCTAGACTCCTGTGGCATGGCGTAGCCTAAGCTTTTGTCCCTAATGTTTTATTTATTTATTTATTTATTGCATTACTTTTATACTTTACAAAGTTAAAAAAGTACTTTTACACTTGTTTGGGTAAAAATATTAAGTTGATACTTTAACTTCAGAAGTCTTTAAACACTTGTTTCTATCTGAGTAATGAATGTGAATACTCTTGATACCTCTGTCTAACTGAACTGAAGGTTCTGATGGCTTTATTGGAAAAATGAAAGTACAAAAAAAAAATAAACCCATAAATGGTACATATACTTTGTCATCAATGCATGCTCCCATACAATGATGAAATGTATGCTTTGCATTTGACCTGTTTCACATGAGAAACACTCAAGTGGAGCAGTGGGGAGCCATTGGGGGTTATGTGTCTTGCTCAAAGACACCATGACATAGTGGGGAGTCAAACCTGTGACTTTCTGGTCCCAAGTCGGCTGCCATACCACTGTACCACAGCCACCCCTATAACCAGAAAACAAATTTAAAACACTGACAGTGTTGAATGTAAATTTCTCTCGCTTCTGAAGCGCTAATTATCAACACCTGCTTTTTATTTTAGAATAGTATGTTTCATGAAAAAGATTTGACAGAGTTTAGTTTGAAAATGTAAACTGTGATTTTTTTCAACAGTTTTGTTAAACTCATAAAACATTTTATAAATGCACTCATGAGAATTGATTTTTATTGTGAGGAATCTTCTGTGGAAAAATTTATCAACGCCTAATCACAAGTACCTTTTATAGCACAATATTTCTCTAGAGTTGGTTGTCTTGGTGTCCCTGCCAACAAATAACCTGCCTAATAAACTGACATTAGGACAAGTAGACAAGTAATGTGATCTGCACTCTGCTTCACTGGACTTGAACGCCGTTTCATTTGTTGAGCCAACACGCCAAATCAAGTCGTCTTTATTAAAGTCGCTTTGATGGATTCACCTCTGGCCTCCGCCCCCTCTTTGATCTATCACCTGTCTGAGCAATGCAGGCCGTGATAAACCTGTTTAGAACCGGGGTCAGTGCATTCAAGCAGAGTGTCTGTGTATGGGGGTGAGGGTGGGGCTGAGTTTCTACTTATACAGTTTGGTGAATGCCTTTGGTCTGCTGTCAAAACTCGCCAATACAGAGCTGTTAATACGGTATCATACTGGAAATTGTATTTTACTATTTTCTGAATGTTCATTTCAAAGCCATAAAACATGCATGTTCACTTTTTGTCATACCATGCTGCTTTTAACTTTTTTTTGTGCCACTTTTAGGCCCTAGGCCTACAGGCTGTCCTTCCACTTTTAGTTAGCCTTTTGATATTATTAGCTTTAGCACAGCCTTTTGCTCCTTTTAGTTTTTAGGTGGTCTTTTATTTTTTGCTTTCAGCTACTATCATAACTTATAGCTACTGTTCTCCTACTTTAGTAAGCTTTTTACTAATCCCAGATAATCTTTTGCTGCTTTGAGCTAGGGTTCTGCTACTTATAGCTTTTAGCTAGCCTTAATATTCTATTTTCCCCCTTTTTAAGTAGCCTTTTGGTAAATATCTTAGTGAGATAGCTTCTTGGTAATTTTAACTTTTATCAAGCAATTTTTTTGTTCTTTGAGCTAGTGATTTTGCATTTAATAGCATTTAGCTAGCACAGTGAAATCCTACAAATGTACAGTTTGTGGACTCAGTCTTTCATGGATCTTGTCATGGAAAATTGCTGGTAGTTTCTGGTAATCACTGTGGTATGGCAGAAACTAGAAATACATTATTGTAAGGGATGTCTGTTTTTTTTTTTCCTGTGCTCTTGCTGTGTGGTGTGTAGCTGCTAACTTTTTTAGCTCTTGTGCTTTTTTTTGGTTCTTACAACATTAAGATGTCACCCCCAACATGATGTAGGCCTTTTCTGGACCACATCCAAAATTCACTTTTTTTTCCACAAATTACAGGTACTAAGAATGTAACCCTTAAAAAGCAGGACTTCACTGTATTCTGTCTTTTAGCCCTACCAACTTAGTTTTATTTCTTTAAAAACATTTCAGTAAAAAGCATTTAGCACTTAACACATACTGCATTTTTATGAAAATTCCATTTCTTTTGTTAAAATATATATTTCAAAACATTTTTCAGAAGGCAACTTATTATTTCCAAATACATCTGACACCAACTGCAATAAACAATACAGGTACAATCAGTAAGAATTGTCTCACAACTGTGCATTACATGTACTGTTTCATCTCTGCAACTGTATTTAATTCGCAGCAGCTGAGCTGAATTGCACATAGAAGATTAGGTCTTTCAGTCTTCCCTTGAGCAAATGAAGCGCAGGGCTTAGCTGACACTGTAGATGTGGCCGACCGACACCCTCATGAGTCATCCTCCACTTAGCAGTGACTGCTGTCCTCCCGCACACACCAGCAGATGCAGGTTACTGTGAGCCGAGGTGCAAACCGTCCTCGTTCTAATGGGCACCACAGGGATCGGTGTTATTGGATGATTCATCAGATCAGCGCCGAAAACTGGTTCTCGCTTGACTTTCTTACAACAGCATGTGTGGCTTGTTGATGTAGTTAACATAAAGAAAAGCACCTGGTGCACTCTGCGTTATACGCACCAACAACTATGAGTTTATAATTTCAGCAAAATCAAAAGTGAATTTACAGTTTTGCCTCCAGATGCAACTACATTCTTTTTTTTTTATTCTACAATGTGAAACACACAAATGGAAATGTGGGATGCATTTTTATAAACAAAACTTTTCACAAATGAAGTTTTTGAAAAAAAATATTTATATGAAAAACGTGGTTATTTTATTTAAAAAAAACTCCTTGGGAGATGAAATAAAAGAACAAAGCTGCTATAGTTAACATTTTTATAGTTGAGCTGTTTAAAGTAATTAAACCATTATAGTTCAACAATGGGATACTTTAGATCTTTTGGATATGTTGCTATGGAATGCCATGGACAGCATGACTCAGTGGTTAGCACTGACACCTCACAGAAAGAAGGTCCTGGATTTGATCATTGGTTTGGACCTGGGGTCTTTCTGTGCAGAGTTTGATTGTTCTCCGGCAGTGTCTGCACAATCACCATTGCATCCGAACTAGGGGGGTGTAACTAAAAAGTTCCACTCTGGGACCTGGTTTCAAAAAGTGCCGGTGTCAGAGACTCCGATCGCTGGTGACGTGTAAATAAGCAACAAAATAGCTACGGTTTCACAGAAAACCAGCTCTGTGTAAACGGGGCCTTACCTTGACCTAAGGCTTTATGCCATTCACAACGAGCTCAATGAACCTTGGCCTCTTTCTAGTCAAAAGGAAATAAATCCTATGAAAAGTCTTTATTGTCCAAAAGGAGTGAATATAGCTGAGTAACTTGTGCCTCAAAACCCACAACAAACATTATTGTTTAGCCTGAAATTACATTTTGGTTAGTGGTTTGTGGGTTTCTTCGATTTGAATTAGCAGGAACCACAGTTATTTGGCAAGACGTATTATACAAACTTGTGTAATTATTAAAGAATTTGCTTTTTTGGAATGTACAATAAGCACATAAAAAAGTAAAACTCAAAATGACAACTCTGCATTCCAAAATGAGACCTTGTCAAACTACAAAATGTTGTAATGTAAACATGGCAAAACAATATGCTTTACACAATACTTAAACAGTACCCACCCCACCCTACTCACATTGTTAGGATTCCTAAACCAACACGGTTACCTCATAAACATCTTTAACGACCTGAAATAAAATATTTGAAGCTTTTGTACAAAAAGTTTGTGTCCTATATATTTTTTTCATCACCAAGAGTCCAATGTGGTGACAAGTTTTGAAGTGCTTTGTGAAGAAACAGTCACTCACAATAATTTGCAGACTCACCCATGCAGTTGTTTTCAATAAAACGGACCAATAAATTCTAAGGCTGTTTTGAATGGAGGACATTTTTTTCCAGCTCATATACAATATATATCTTCCTGTTCATAAAATCAGTCTGCACCGTCTTTCAGTTTGCAGTCTGTCATTAAAGGACAAGCCATGAAATCAGAAGTGAGTGGGGCGCACCATCATAGTTGTCATGGTGGCCATCAGATTGGGACCTTTCCAATAGTACCACTTAATGCCATTGTAGCGGATAACATTTGACGAAGCAGGGTAATATATGCCATTCAGGTTAGATGGACCGCAAGCCTCAAACCACCATCCTGCAGGGAAGAGAGGACAAAAACAAATGTTTTAAATTTGTTTATCAGGAGGTTATACAGTTTACAATACTTAGATTTCTCAAAACGTACATACTGTAACTTCTCCAACTTTTTTTTAACAAGGAATATGACTCACCACACATAGAAATAGAAGATATATATA